AAAAAAGTGACCTTTTACACAGGCAGCTAGTGATAGAATAAGGGACAATGGTTTTAAACCAAAAGAGAAGAGATTTAGATTAGATGTTAGGAAGGAATTCTTTACTCACAGGGTGAAGCACTGGAACAGGTTGCCCAGAGAAGCTGTGGATAGYCCCARCCTTGGATTCAAAGCCAAGTTRGATGGGRCTTGGAACAACCTGGTCTAGTGGRAAGTGTCCCTGCYTCTGTCASGGGGGTTAGAACTGGTTTGTCTTTAAGGTCCCTTCCAACCCAAACCATTCTGTAATTCCAAGTTCAGCCATCAATGAAGACACTGATCAGGCTGGAATCACCCTCTGATCCTGGCTCACCTTTCCTTATGGAGCAACCAGCCCTTGCTGCTGCCTGACAATTATTTTGCAATCCCCAAAAATTTAAGCAATTTTTAACTTTCCTTCTGCCTTTATTCTGCCTATAGGAAAACAGAAAAGAATWAATTAAATGACACTATTTTGTTTCCCTTGTTAAGAACAATGGGATAATACCTACGAGATCATTTTTTTAACAGGACCTTGATAAAGTACGTACCATATTTTYTGGACTTGGCACATACCAAGGACTCATAGGGACTGAACTAATTTGTAGACAGTAGAACCGTGGCTGAAACCTAAAAGATGAGAAAGACAGAAAGAAATCTTTTGTCTTCAGCCAGACAGGCAGGAGCTCCATGGCACACAGACACGGGCGATTATCTCACCAGCTGTAGAGGCTTTAGCTGCCTGCATAAAAGGAGCTCTTTATTAACAAATGAGATAAATACACTTAGCTTTTGCAAATAAAGCCGTAGGACCAGACTAATGCTGGGGGCAGCCTTACACCATCCTTTCCCGTGCAATGGCCGCAGATAATGTAGCTCAAGCTTCCCTTCTCTGTTACCAGAGCTCCCCTTCGTGTCAAATATCGGAATAACAGCTTTAGTTGCAGAATTTACTGTGCATCTACCTCGGGTCCAGACTTCCAGGTTCTGGCATGCAAGGGCCATGTGGTYATTGAACTCAGTGTACTGTGGAGCATATTTATTATATGTTGGACTGCAAATGCAGTACTGAAATACTCTGATAGAAAAGCGTGTAACCAATTTTATTCTTAGAGCTGTAGGAGRGGTTCTGAGGAGAAAACCAAAGGTGGGTCACCTTACAAGAAAAAACACTCTGTTGTCTATTCTCAGCCTACTGATCTCTCACCAGGCACCTGGAAACTGCTTTGCCTTTCAACACTTTCGATTTTACCAGATTAATTCCACTAATGTTTTGATACAAGGGCAAATGGCAGAATAAACTATTAGATCCACTAAGTTCTTGTTCAAGTTAACGGAAACTATAAATATTCATAAAACAAGCTTGAGTGGCAGGCTTAATTCATACTCTGTTGAATATGTTTCCCTTTTTTCTGGATGGTGTAGAGAACTCTCCAAATATGCTGCAGGATATCTGGACTCTTCCAAGAGGGACTTCTGACAGTATTTACCACTTGCAGGACATGGAACTGACAAAACATTTCTCAAAGAGCAATGGTTTGCAAGGAAGAGATTGATACAGAAGAATTCACATTGCTTTCTATAAATAACTGGCTCGAAGTAAAATTGGGAGCATGGAAAGGCCTTGAGCAAAATGCTGTCTGGCCCAACCAGTTGTGCTCCTGAAGCTCAGGGGAGCTTGTGTTTCGCTGGGAACACTGTCACTGTCTGAWTGTGTTCAGCATGTGCTGTCACTGCCACTTGTCATGAGGGTGGGGAAAGGTTCAGTTCATATCCATCGSTCCCTCAGGATGGGATGTGACAGCACTGCCTTTACCAAGAGAGTCCTTCAGGATTGTTTAAATATAGCTGTTGGTGTTTTGTGGAAAAGCACAGAGAGAGTGAGCTTAGGGCAGTCATTAAACACAGCTTAAAAGGTCCTTTCTGCTCAGTGCAGATTTTCAGCTTGTGCTGACCTTCACCATTACCAGATGCAGTGTTTGCTATATCTGTGCAGTCAGGGACATATTCACAAAGCCTAAAACCCATTTGAAGTGATTGCTTTTAGCTGGCCCCTCAACTTTCRGAGGGCTCAGCCCACAGGGAAAAGCCTATGGGTGTAGCTGACAGGTAACCTAATCTAGACCTAACAGAGCAAAATTAAAGTTTTTTGTGAAATTCCTGTTTGTCCAAGAAAGAAGCACTGAATCCTGCTCTTGTTGTGTAAGAAGCATTTACTTTAAACTTGTGCTATAGCCAAAATGTTTCTCACTGTTTACAAAAAGTTGACTAATCCTTCAGAGCTAGTTAACAATAAGAATAGAAATTCTGTGYGCATCCAGAACACTTTGTAAAAGTTAACAACAAGAATAGAAATTCTGTATGCATCCACAACACTTTGTAAAAGTTAGAAGAAAATCCTAAGCAACTTTCCATCCTCCAAGTCTTTATTTGCYTTGGCTGGTAGCTACTGTCACTGTTTGCCTTTTTTTCTGCCACAGGGTCAAGCACCTACATTGTGACGTTTGTATCATTGTACCACAGATGTTGCATCACCTGTGATAACAGAAGTCACTGACAGTCACAGAACAAATGGCAAGATTCCCACCCACTTCAATGGGCTGGGATGTCACAGTGTGTTCCATCACAACCCCACAGCAGAAACAGCACTATCCTAGGATCCTGCCATGGCACAGTAGCACCAAAAACCAAACAAGGGACTTTTTAGTCTGTTATCTCGGTCACACTCAAGTTTGAATTGGGGTTGGCACAAGCATGGGGTTTGGTGTGAGTACTCTTCACATCACCAAACTCTTTATGTGTTCATTTCTTAACATGCCATAAGGAAGTATTTGAGGTCTGCTAATTCTGGGGCGTAGGATGCAATTTTTTTTACTTCAGCATTGTCATGAGCAGTGTTTTCTGCCTGTATCTTCAGGAAAACTCCTCTTCCTCCCATCACAAATATTAGCTCTCACTGGGCATTTAACGTGGGTGTACAAAGTCTTCAGTAAACTCTAGATTAAAAAGTAATCAGGCTGAGTTGAATTTTAGCCTTTTTCYTTGATGATAGCAGCCTTGCTGTAACAAATCCCACAAAAGAAAACAAAGTAACATTCTGCACTTCTTAAAACACAGTCCTGAAAAAGTATGAAGTTTTACACGAAGCAACTGATCGGAGGTTATGTTGTCCTTTTCATCTACTAATTAACTGTCCATTCTGCTCTGTAAAGCTGACTCAAAAAGGCTTTTTTGATAGGCAGTGTTCTGGGCTTATAAAAAAAATTATGTTTTCTGACTGGCCAAAGCATACATTCAAGTTATACCAAGAAGAAACTCTTCCTAGGAATATTGTCCTGTGGTGGGATTACCACCTGTTCTGGTTTGGCTCAGGGCCTCCTGACATGAGGTGGGCCTGAGGAGGGAGACGTTTAAGCATTGGAGATGGCTAGAGCAGAGTGCACAGTTCAGCATAAATGGCTCAGGACAACAATAGCTGAGACAAAAAGGGAAAAGAAACAACAATAAAGGAGATGTGAGGGTGGCTGGACACTGGAATAGGTTACCCACTGAAGTTATGGGCTCTGCATCCATCTTCAAAGCCCATCTGGACACAGTTCTGGACAGACTGATCTAGCTGATCCTGCTTGASTAGAACAGTTTGACCAGAGCTTCTCAAGAGGCCACTTCCATTCTCAGTTATCAGCRCAACAGCAGAGAGATCAGCTGGATCCAGAGGTCAGGACTGAAAAGAAGAAAGACAATACCAAAGCTTGCCAAAACAAAGCCAGGAACCATTTTTTACAAAGAGATTATGACATGAATGTCTGAGATGTTCCCAAATGGTGATTCTGGGAATAGATAAGTTCTGGAGAGACGACTAATACAATCAAATTCCTAATGTGCAGCAGACAACTCTGCATGAGAAATGCTAAGAGCTCCAGAGTTCACCCCRTCTTCATTAGAAAGTAACAGGGAGGCACAGACACCTGAACTATGCCCTCATTTTCTAATTTGTTCACATATGAAGACACTCCCCTTCAGACTTTTCTGACTGTATTGCTATAGGGAGCACTATGGAAACAGGACACTGGCTCATGTTCATGTTTRTCCTTCCAGCCTGGAATATTCTGACTGATTAATGAAGGGACATGCAGTAGGTACCTGGGAGAACTGTTCCCACAAAAMCCTGGAAAGTACTCCTGCTAACAATGCTTGGAACACCTTAAATTTTACATTAAAAAATGCACAATGTCAAAGGTGGCAGTTGTTAGAGCAAATTGTCCTCAGAGCTCCCATTAACCCAGAGCACTGCAGTGATCAGCACAAGAGACCATGGGCTGGGAGGTTTGGTATGGACCTGTTGTACTGGTTTTGCATGGCCAGGTTTTGGCACTGGGGTGGGGGCTGTTACAGGGGTCGCTTTTGTGAGAAGCTGCTGGAAGCTTCCTCCATGCCCAGCAGAACCAATCCCTGCCAGCTCCAAGATGAACATGCCACTGGCCAAGGCTGGGCCAACTAGAAATGATGGCATTGTCTTTGTGATAACAGATTCAAGAAGAAAATTTATTTTCTTCTTGTGCAAATGTAATTGCAGCCAGAGAAGATCAGGGTGAGAATTTGTGCGAGGAACAGCTCTGCAGACACCAAAATCAATGGAGAAGGCGGGGCAGGAGATTGTCCAGGCACCAGAGCCGAGATTCCCTGCAGTCCCTGGTGCAGCCCATGATGTGGCAGCTGTGTCCCTACAGCCCATGGACATCCTTTGGGATGCAGAGATCTACCCACAGCCCCTGGAGACCCACGGTGGAGCTGGAGCAGGGGAAGGAATTCTCTCTCTGAGCAGTGGCAGAACTAAATGGGATGAAGTGACCACAACCCCCATTCTCATYTCCCTGCACTGYKGGTGKGGAGGAGGTAGAGCTGAAAAGGGAGGGATGAGGGGAAGGTGATTTAAAGGTCTTATACTACTTCTCATTAGACTGCTCTGATTGTATCAGTAGTAAATTCAATTAACAACTCCAATTCAAGTCTGGTTTGSCCGTGAYRGTGTTTGATGAGTGATCTCTCCCAATCYTTGTATCAACTMATRAACCTTTATYATATTTTCTTTCTCCTRTCCAGATGGGGGGAAGGWGAGASAGAGGCTTTGGTGACAGGGTCACCCACAACACCTGTGTAATGCTGTTCACTCACTCCAAGACAGTCTGTTCAGCTTTAAGCCCAAATTCATCTTGCAGTCAAGCGGCCTGGTTTCAAGTCCAAGCTCAGAAGCACATATTTATGTCATGGTGAGATTTGRGACAGTCAGAAGGAAAGCCTGAGCTCATCCAGATGCTCAGCACAGGCTCTGCCACAGGTACCCTGCAGTGCAGTTTGGCAGGACACCAGCAGCCCACCAGACTCCTCCATTCCCCACTTCCCAGGGCTCTCAAGGAATGTCATATGGCCAATGGCAAGGGGACAAATTGGCCAATTGTCCTTCACAGAAGCCCTCTGTTATGACACAATATAAATCTTCCAAGTCTAAGCCCACATCATCCGTAAGATGGGTACTGGTGGGAAACAGCCAGGACAAAAGCCAAGCTCCATATCCCAACTGTTTTTCCAGCTCATTGAGCAGCATCAGGGCAATGAAAATGGTAAATCACAGAGACTAAAGGAAAGTGTGAGTGTGTGTTTGTGTTTGTGTTTGTGTTTGTAAGCAATTTCAGCTCTTACATGGATGTTCTTCCCCTTGTAATAATCACACTCAAATAAATTATAATAAACCTCACACTGAGAGCTACCAGCATCAGTTCTTACATTTAAGAGGTAATAATGAAATGCTTCACACTGGGTGCAGTGAGGTGGGGAAGGAGCTGTAGCTGCTGAGATATGAGTTGAGGGCAGTGCAGATGCACACACAGCTCCTCATGCCCTGACTGAGGCCTGCAACCAGACCCCTGACATCTCAGGATTCACAACCCTGCTCCACCCTAAAGCTTCCCTACATGCACCAAGAGGAAGCACCCCAWATGAGTCCTTTCTGTTGTGACTAGCACCTTAGGTTATTGACAGATTGCTCAGTTCATAGAGTCATTTTTAGCTTGAATTTATGGTTCTTCAGCTGTGTTTTTGAGAGATGACACTGCCAYAGGAATGGAGAGGCTTCCCCCAACTCCCAGTAATCCAGCAGTAGCATGGCTGAATATGCTGAGTTTAAAAGGCTTAATTCTGTTATGCTGCAAATAAAAGGTTATCGATATAAAAACAATTTAAATGTTTATGTTAATAATGCCAATGACAGACTCCTTTATTAACAAAATCTAAGGCCTCGGCTTGGATGAGGATGTGATTTCTCTTTATAGAACAACCAATTATTACTTTTTGTACTTTTCTCTCTTAAAATGCCATGAATGTTGCTAACATCAATGATGATGAACAATAACATCATGCCTCAAGTGAAATCCTCTGATAAGGAGGTGGAGATTTGATGACAACAAATTTCCTGAACCAGCAGGCACAGTATTAACCTCACTGATTTCAAYGGCACTTGGATCCAGTTAAGCAAGAATTGCTCGAGAGGGATTTTGCCCAAAAGAATATTTCAAAGTGCTTTCCCAAACAAGGAAAGTATTCCTACAAAAACAACAAAAACAGAACCACCCATGTTCCATCCAACAAATTCTGGGATTCCTTCTTGCAGAGTTGTGTATCCCARTGGAAAGCAGGAGATGGAACAATACTGCAGCCATACCTGGGAAGGTGACATGGGAGCATAAACCACCCTACACAGGGCCACGGCTAACAGACRGCTGTAGTAAAGGTGTCTTTCTTCCACTCCATCCTCAAGGCCTGATCCTTTGAAGTCACAGCCATTTAGGGGCACTCAGCATTGCTGTGGATGCAGGCTGTGGGGAGCTCTCTTCAATGTTGACTTTTTCCACTGCTGAGCTAAAGAAAAAGACATTTTCTTCAGAGTCCTAAGTCTCAGCATGCTTTGTGCACCCCTGCCATCCAGAATATTTCAAATGAAACTGCTGTAAACTGTGGCAGCAACTCAGACCATACAGTTTATCTGTTCCTATACTGACATACCATCATGAACGTCCACAGGGTCAATGCCTGCACCAGTGTCAATGTTACACSGCAGGAGAGGTCTCAGGGCACAATCTGTTTGTCTTGTTGATTTTTTGTTACAATATGGTCTTTGCTGATCCTGTATGATTGAAACAAGGATTCAGCCTCCTTCTGAATCTGCTGCCAGTCCTTCACTGCTGTGGCAGGCACGAGGGACACCAGTAACACCCCTGACTGGCACAGCTCCTCTTGGAAGGATTATTCATTTTCTTCTCCAGGCTTCTAGGCCATTCCAAAGAGGAATCACAGGCCAAGAAGACTTCCCCTGCTGAGTTCACCATAATCCTGTTCCACTGCAATTCTGAATCTTCCTGTGGCCCAGGCAGCACCAGCCACTGTCTCTGTCCCAGGCAGAGTTTTCGAGCACAGGCTCTTTGTGGTTTGCTCTGCAAAGCAGAGGGCTCCAGAGCAGAGCTACTACACACACAAGCACCTGCACCAGGGTGCAACTTCTTAAGCCTGTTTCATACTACAGTGTGCATCACCCAACACCGCTCAGCATGTGGATATTAAGAAAACACAAAGACTGTATCACCCAAGTTTGAAGTGAAAACCAGGAACATTTATACCTATTTTTACCTCCAACCTCACTTGACAGAATTATGGCCCATTGATTTACCCCACCACAGACTTCATAAGATCTTTTCACCTTCCTCCTGTCTTTTTAGGACACTGCAAGAGCAGGATCAACTCGGTTGAGAGAGTGCCCTGTGGAAATTCTTGCAGAGACAGCATAGAACTAGCTCTGCAGTCTTGCTCTGCCAGGGATGTTCTTGCTTGAGCTRGGAGAATTAACTGGGAGCCAGTGTGGTGTGGATTAAACTGCACAGAAAGACTGTCTACTGGACATCCTTCTATCTACAGCCCTGAAACTCACTTTTTCCCCTGCTTACCTCTGTCTGTGTCAGTGTGTGCAATTCCCTATGCAGTTAGAAAGATGGAATTGGTATTGAGAGTACTTACTTGAAAAACATTGGAAATGCTTTTTTCATAGTCCACTAGTGAAATTTAGCAGTTGGGGAAAAAAAAAAAAAAAGGAAGGGAAAGTCCTCTGTAAGCCACACACGGTAAACTAAAAATTATTAGCCAAAGAGAATTAGGAGGAGGTGGAAATGCCAAGGTAGTTAATCACAGCTCTATTGCTGATTTGTGTATTCTGCTTTGGGCAATCAATATTCCCTTCTTTTTCAGCTACTCTATCTGGAAAATGTGGTAATACACGAGTCGCAGGCAGGTTGGGACAGTGAATTAGGCTGTTGTTTATTGCAGGGAGTGCCCCAACATGCAGTAGCAGTGTTAGGAATGGTTACTATGTGAGARAGGGAACTACTTAGAAAATAGTTTCTCTGACCTGAATTCCCTCTTAAAATCAAAGAACTGGGACAACCTAGGGCCCACATTTATCAAGCACTCTAGCACTGCTCTCACTGGAATCCAGTGTGACAMAAAATGCTTCAAACTGTTACCAAGACCTTCTGCAGGATCCCTAAGAGGTCAATGGGAACTGCTGGATTTCTGTGTGAAGGTAAGATGATGTAGCTAAAAGAAGTTAGCTAAAAGAACAACAAGAAGAGCAGCAAATGGAAGATTCACTCAACTATGTACAAATTTGTGTCACTGGCATAGTAACAAAAGTGGAAATTCAGARGTAATCTGAGCTGGTTATTGCTGTCTTTAGAGTAACAGATAAACTGTGGTCCATACAAAACCCCKGCATGGTAGGCGAGTGATCAGCAAGCTGGAGACAGGGCTCAGGAAAGCATTTGAGAGGTCTGTTATTGCCACTTTGTGGGATTAAACCAGCTTTACCTCCCTGCCAGAAATACCTATGATAAAAATACCCTTCACTGGTTTTACAAACAAGCTTGTTGGAGTTAAATCTGTGCTTGRAAGTGATTTGAGTAATTTGTCTGCCTTTGCACTGAAGTGGACAATGAGCACTCCAAGTCTCTGTTCCACCAGCTCAGCTGTAAGACCAGGAACCCCGAGGAGAAGGCCAGAGAGCAAATACCATCCCAACCCAGGAAAGCTACTTCTGTCCAACAGCCGGCTCTAACACCACCATCTTACTTCAGTGATGGAACACATGATATGGCTAAACAGATTAGGAGAGAACTACACTTGGGAAACACTTTGTGATGGAACAAAATCATAGCWCAAGCCATCATTAACACAGCTTGGCCATAAGGGCTGTACACTGAGATCAATGACAAACCTTATGTCAAAGTTCAGTCATCCTCTGACCAAGGGGAGAGTGGACCAATAGCATGTATTTAAATGTGTCACTATTACCCTGTGACAAAGTTGTGTCCCTCATCATGGTAGGCAAAGGTACATTCTTGGGTAACATCATTCATTGTTCAGTGGGGCATCTCTAAGCAGGAAACGTTCCCCACAAACGCTGGAAGAATCAAAGTCTAATACTGGTTTTCTCGTATGCTCCTGAAAACAGGTTTTCTCAAAAATCTCTTTTCTGAGCAAGGCTTATAAAACTCATCAAACTTTTTTGTTCCTCCTCCTTTATTGGAAACAATGTCCTGTCCTAGCCATCCCACTTAATGAGTAAAGCAAAGCTTAATGTTCTTCCTCACTTTGATGATTTGGGATCAGTTTCTCATGACAAATCACAGGTTTTGGGCCYTGTGCCATCAGAGGCACAGCTGTTAGCTCACCAGTACCACTGAAAGTCTTTCTGGCATGTGTTTTGCAGCCTTCAGAGTTTTTTTTTTTTTAAAGAGCAACCTTCATAACTTTTGACATGTTGGGTAAGAGGGGGTGGATGCAAAGGTAAACAGTCACACTGTGGAAGTTGCCAAATCAAACCCAAGGATGCTGGCAGGGAGGTGAGTGAGGGAGAACAGCTGTGCTGAGGCAACACTCATAGCAGAGATCTCTCTTATACTGAGGCTTCAGCCTATCCTGAAGTAACTGTTTTTATCCTTTATCCTATCARCTATTAGGTACTAAGTCTGCCTTGGTACTGAATGCACAAAACATTGATCTTTGCTGTCAACTTCATAAACATTTCCACAATKTTTGTCTCCTCTGCTACTGTGTTTCTCTGCGAGTTCCTATACTTGAACAGTAGCTTTAACTTTTTGATTGCAATTCAGGGCTGGATATGGCTCTGATTATGAGCTGAGCAGAAGCTTGGCCATTTCTCATCACATAATCTCTTTTCTGCTCCTCTCCCTCTCCTTCACAAGCATTTTGATCTCAGGATGACAATAAAGAGTAAATGTTAAAGAACATGTTCTTACCTAAAGACATGACGTGCACAACTTATGAGGAACAATCCCAGCTTGACTGCCACATGAGACAAGTTAGAAATACAAAAGGACTTCCTGCTCTTATAAAAGAAGGCCAGTCTGATTTCTGGCACAAGTACTTAAAATTCATGAGTATGTCCCTTCCTGAAAATGAGAATCTGGATCAAAACTAAAAAAGCAATAGAAGAAGTTGTTTGGGAGTACTCATAGATCCTTTTCTACAATAAATTCGGGTAATTTTCGAAGTTTTGTCTGTAATCATAACACATCTATTTTTCAGGAGCTGGGGCATTAAGAAAAGCAAGAAGAGAGGTTTATTGCTCACACACACATGTAAATCATGCAAGTTAGCAGCTCTGGGTAGGAATCTACAGCTCCTCTGTGAACAAGGTCACCTGAATATTTTAAACAAAATGGCTTTCTTTTATTTTCTATCCCTGCAATCCTGAGTGTCAGGTCTATTTTTGGAAAAAGTTGTTTTTGTGAGCTTATCCAGTCCTTAGCTGAAGGAGTTCATCTTTTGTGGTTTTGTTTTGGTTTTTTTTTTTAACTCTGGGTCATTTCCCCCTCCAAGAGTTCATTCAGGCCTCAGGATAAAGGCAAYAGAAGAAACAACTAAGGCACAGAATTTTAAGCAGCCTAGAAAAATCCCTTTTCTTGACCATTGCGTAATCTTAGTTTTGACTGTATAATACTGCAGGTGCCTGTTGTTGCATTCCAGGAAATAAAGGGAATACATAATGAAGGGGGGAAAAGTTTCCTTCTAGCTTTTTGTATTAATGCCTATGTTTTTCTATTTAGCACATCAAAGTTGTAAACTACAATGTTTTCTCACTTTTCCAAGTCATTTTTACAAAGAAATTTCTGACCTTTGATCCTACAATTACAACACGTTGTTAACTCAAGTTTAATCACTCAAGGTAGCAATCTCTACCAATGATAGAAAAGAAGGCAGAAAAAAAAGCAGAAAAGATGTCACTCTTTAGTATATGAAAGCAAACACAAAGGACAAAAGCCTTATCCTCAGATAAGTTTTGAACTATTATGATTTATATTCCCCTCTGAGAATGACAAAGAAGCAACCTTAAAGCTTCTGAGCTTCTGAAACAGAAGGGCCTGTATATCTCTATCCTCAGAGTTCTGTGCCCTAGGTGGAAACTCTAAGACCTGTATTTCTCCCTGCTTGAAATCCAAGAGYTCCCCAAATCCCTTTGTGAGCTGATTACATGATGGAGTAGCAGGACTGAAAGTTTTCTCAGCAAAGTCTTCGGAACGGATACTTTATTTTCCCAAACGTATTCATTCCATTTAAAGCAAAAATCTATGTGGAAGCACTTCACAAAGGCCTCTTAAGCCTCAAATTCTCAGCAGRAACACTGCTGTTCTAGCATTCAGTCCTGAYTCTCCATCRCTTGATGATCTGCAGTGAGATTACCCCATTTCTTTGCTGTACTGCCATGTGGCAGATGTTGCTAGGCCCCAAAACAGTAAGAGCACTGGTTTACTGGAGGCACAGGAATATGCAACTATTCCCCAACAGCAACCTAACGCTGTGGGGCCAGCCCAGCATTGATCCCAATTTGCCAGTTCTCTGCCCTAGAACATTTTATCACCAGTTTCTTGAATGATTGGACCTGCTCTCTAACCATGTGCCAGGCATTAGCAGGGAACACTGATGAGTTCTTTAACAGTTCTCTTGGTAACAACAGCATTATCCTGGGCAAATCTGTTTCAGTGACATTTAACTGTTTTTTCCATCCCTGTTATGAATGAGAGGGGAGAGCTTAGACAACTCCCTGCCTTTGCTCAGGTTTCTGGCAGTAGGCAGCAATTTTATTGAGGTGGCCAGCACCCAAACCCACTCTCCCTCACAAGTTCTTTATGATGATCAAACAGATAATTACAACATGAATTATTTACTTGTTTAGACACAAGGAAAAAATACAGACATGAGACTTTAACAGGCTTACTTACTACAGAGGATAAACAAAAGAACTACTAGTAGATATAAATGCAGTGCATGATAAAAGGTTCTTCCAGAAGAGTAACCACGAAATTGCATCCAGACTTTGGGGAGAAGCCCTACAGGGCGTGTGTATGAGACTTCTGATTTTGTGMAAGTTTGYGTAGCTTTTATAGTTTGYAAAGTKAAGTSTCTGTCAGTCAGAAATKCCAGCTTATCCCCTTCAATCCGCTCCYAAGGCAAGATGTTTATTGTCAGCTGGGGATTCCACCTCCCTGGTGCCAGAGATATTCACCACCAGACAGACTCCCTTCCACAAACAGACCTCATCAGCCCCCTTTCCCTCTTACCTCCTGTTCCTACATCTGACAGCCATCCACCCTGGCCTGAAGCAGGAGAACCAGAAAGATACAGCCATAGTCAAAAACTGGCTGGAGCATGAGGTGCATCTACATCAACAGAAGATGCTCTTACTGAAACTAATAGAATATAACATGGAAGAAGACATACTTTTTTCCGTATTGCAGACGTTACTGGTTTGGATTGCTCCTGCAGCCCTATTCATGACCACTGTCCTCCACTGGYTAGTGAGAAAATGGAATTTTCGTGCATTTCCTCAAGCCTTCCGTTTTCATCCCTCACCAGATGGCTCTGACACCGGATACAAGCTGGTACTTGTTAAGCAAGATGCTTCTGGGAACTGAAGCAAGAAGACAGCCTTCATCATCAAGACCCTCTACCCAATCTATGAAGTTTTGAATAATTTGTGCACTTCACAACGTTAAATACATTATGCAGAGCCAGAAGGCACAGAGAGTGCACAGGTTGCCCAGAGAAGCTGTGGATGYCCCATCCCTGGTAGTGTTCAGGGCCAGGTTGGATGTGGCTTGGAGTAAYTTGGTCTGCTGGAGGGTGTCCCTGCTGATGGCTGGAGGGCTGAAAAGAGATTCTTTTCAAGTCCCTTTCAACCCAAAGCATTCTGTSATTCTATGATTCTAATCCTAGCTTCTACTATTGGCATAACCTGKTATGAGAACCACAGGACCAGAAACACGAATTATTCTCATACCGATGTGGGATCTTCCTAAGCATTCGCTGTGCACAGCCCAGCACCCCTCACCCTCACTCTCTCCAGCCGAGCAAGGGCCGGGCGAGCCCGGGAGCGCCGCCTCGGAGGCGTTCTGGAGGCCGCTTTGGCGGCCATTTCACCGCGGATCTCAACCCCGCTGCTCCAGGCTATGGCCGGGCCGCGGGAGGGATCCGGAACCGCCCCGCTCCCGCCGCCCGCKCTGAGGGAGCCCCGGGGCGGAGCGGAGCGGGGCGGGGGCAGCGCTTGCGCGGCGGGGCCGGGGCGGCCGAAAGTTCGGGGCCACGTGGGGCGGGAGTGGGGCGGCCGCGGGGGGCAGCGCGTCCCTCAGAGCGGCCCGGGAGCCTCGCTGCGCTCATCTCAGCACCACCGCCACACGCCYGCCCTCCGGCCCTCGCCATGGCTCCCGCCGAGATCCTCAGCGGCAAGATTGTCTCCGGGTACGTAGCGGGGCTGCCCACAGCGCTCGGGCGGGAAAGTGGGAGCCGCGGGAGTTTTGTCCTTCCCGCTGTAATCGGGGAGCTGAGGGGTGCCCCGGCGACTCCCATGTGTGCTGGGAGCAGGATGGGCTGTGGGGGGCTTTTGCTCTGGGCTCTGTTGGCAGACACACACCTTTGGAGACACCCTAAAACTTTTCCACTATGTTGCAGCCAAAGCGCACTTGTTCCTGGCGGAAAACTGGGAATTGCTAGAAGAAGTACAGTATTAAAGATGTTCAGGAGAATATAAGGTGGTGTCAGAGCCCCCCAGAAACCAGCGGTGCGTCTGGTGGGGTCTCTTTGGCAGCCCCAGCCTCAGAGAGCACCTGGTGACTGCTCAGCATCGATGAGATGAGATGAGATGAGATGAGATGAGATGAGATGAGATGAGATGAGATGAGATGAGATGAGATGAGATCCCAGGCTGGAATGAAGCCACTTTCTGACCTATGGCTTCTGTGTGTGTTAGCTGGGCTTTAGGAGCAGGAGTTGGGAACATGTGCTTTAGGTGTGGGCTCTGTGTTCATCCTGTCCAGGTGTTGATTGCTCCSCTTTCAGGCAAAGTGCGTTAATGCACACTTGGCTAACACATAGCTGAATGTTCACAGGTGTCCTGCCAAAGTTATTTGAAAGATTTGTGAGATCTTGAAGGAAAAAAGCATTCTCATGCTTTGCAGCATTTAGCTGGCAAGCCTTGGGTGTCGGTGAGCCTGTGTTGTGTCCTTTAGTTTGCTTGTTTTTCCTGCTGTCACTCTAAATACACATCTGGTAAGAAAGCCARATAAATTTCCCTTATCCTGGGGAAAATGCAGTGTAATGTTTCTGTTATATTCTGTGGAAACAGGGTTGGGTTAGGTAGGTTCACTGGGTACCTCCTGTCAAAATAATCAGGGAATTCAGACAGAAGGGATATATTTGAGAAGGTATAAAGCAATCCAAGCAAAGCAGTTAGTCCTGCTGTTAAGATATTGCTGTGTACCACACAGCTACATCTAACCAATAGTGGAGTAGTTCTGAAAAGYAGCAGTAGTTGTGAAAAGTAGTTCAAGGCCTAATGTGCTTTGAATCAGAATATCCGTGAGGAAAGGCTGCTGGCATGTTTTTTACCTGGTAACTTTTGGGCGAGTATCACCTGTGCATTGCAGTCTCTCATTCTTACATSCTTCCTTCCACCTGCTCCTTTTAGCAGTGATGAAGCCAGCACACTCTGCAATGCCTGTGCCTGTTGCTGGGGGGACTTCGTGATTTGCCTGTTTGCAGGTTTATTTTCTGTCGTAGAAAGTCACCCTGAAGTGCTAATAGGTCCTGGAAAGATGCTAACTTGGGTAGAGTGAATGCGTTTTGATCATTCATGTTAGAACTTTCAGCTTATTTGGTATGGCATGTTGCATTAGTTATTTAATTTTATAGATACAGAGGTGACATTTTTTATTTCTGTTTGTTTTCTCTATTATAGTGGAAGCTGTAAATTAGCAGTTCTCAGAGGTGAGGACATGATGTTCAAATACCCACAAAGAAGCATGGGCTTTTAACAGGCACATACAAAAGAAAGGTTACTCAGCTTCCAGCACATCTCTTAAGGTGTTTGGCTGAATTTTGTCTCTCAGAGTCATCAAATCTTGACCTGAAGACACCAYAAAATGGAAAAATAATTGCAGTTGTCCAGCTGTCCTTCAGTTCCTTTATTTATGCTGTATTKTCATCCAGTAGAGCAAAAGCATCATCTGCTCCATATGGGCCTCAGGCAGTTCTGCCTTTTCCTAGCGKAGAACTTGAAGGAGTCATAAGGAATTGGGCTATCCACCGTGGAGACACCTGTCCCTTTCTTCCAGACACTCTAGAGAAGTGCTGGTCCTGAGGATTGTCACTGTCCAGAGTTCACCTTCAGGCCAAGAGTCTGGCAGCAGCAGCMGAAGTGATAGGCATGTGGTTTTTCTAGGAATTTTCTACTGAACTGCTTGTTGTAGAAAGGGAATGTCCCTGACTTTATATCAACTGCCAAACCTTTTCAGTTACTGTCTTGTAAGGGGTGGATTTTGCTACTTTACCCTTTATTCGAGAAAAACGTTTTTTTTTGTAAGTCAGTCAAATATTTGACACATGAGGTGAATCAAACAAGTAGYGTTCGAGCTATGCAATTCTGAGTTTCTGCATGTATTTTAAATCAAAGCTCATAAGTATTGTGAACTTTCTCTTCCAGCCACCGAGCACCCTTTCCTCAAAATAGATGAAAAAAAAACCTAATTCACAGTCATGCCACCTGTTTGAGCAAAAATCAGGTGATACTGGCATTCTTATTCTTGTGAAACATGTAAAGATAATAAATATTTTGAGAGAGTTTCCTTGCCTTCATAAATAAGGAAAACTTGATGAGGTGATAAAACTGGTTCACACCTTAGAAAGTCTTGGAAGTCTCAGAAGATGTAGAAAGGAAAATTGCCATGTTTAGTGGCTTTGAGGATTACCTGTGAAGATGGAGAATGTGGTTGGGCTGGGCATGGGAAGGAGAACACAGCAGACATTTTTTTCAGTTTAGGATTTTGTTGTTAATGCATCTCTAAGACTGCTTGTTTGTAAGTACAAACAAGAAGCCTGAACAGTGTGTGAAATATATTAAATATTGGATGAGTTATGCATCAGTCTGAGTTGGCTAGTTACCTCAGGGTGGCTTTCCTCTACTTCTCTGAGTGGCTGTTTAGTAATTCAGCCTTAGATTTTGCTGCAAGTTAAATTTGCCTCATTGGCAAATGAGTCACAAAAGATGAGTTATTGTATAACAGTAAAACAAATGACTAGTTAGGGGAAGAGAAACAGTGCTTTAAGTATACATGATGTGGAGGGTTGAAAGTAATAAAAATACAGTATTATCGACCTTTTATTGCTGGTATTACCTGAAAAAACCCAACAAATCTCTGTTTCTGTTTCTAAAATAGATACTCAGAACAGAACATGGTAGTGTTTTTTCTTTACAGTTTATGTCCACTGCAGTGAGCTGTTTTCAGTGTTTACCATGTGAAAGAGCCCAGGTTTGGAAACCTTTGGCTTGGCCTGAATTGGTTGATAGCCCTAGGAGTGGACCAACATTTCTGGTCTGGAAGTGGTTGATGAGTTGTGATGGCAGGGAAAACTTAATACCCCTCACAGTCCCTAGGGATGGGCCAGGTAGTGCTTTGAGTTTAATGAAGTGATGATCAGGCTTAGCTTATAACTGGAGGTAACAGTGCAGTAAACAACTCCTTGGCATTTTCAGTCTGGGCCTTAACTATTTTTTGGAGCTCCTATAGAAACTCAARTGGAAAAAAATCCCTCACTTGTGCAATATCATTTACCAGATGCTACCCACAATGTTTCAGGCTTGCACKGAAGGGTCCCACGTTGTGGCTGGTCTAAGTTAAAGTGAACTGTGGGTCCCGTTGGGTGGCCCCAAATATGAGCAAGAACCTTTTATGTTCAGTGCTGTGCAGACACAATTTTAAAAAATTTTAAATCCTGCACTAAAGAGTTGATAAGAGAGAAGAAAACAACAACCCTGGGGTACAACAGGGCCACAGATCTGTGATCTGTGCACAYCAGCACCAGATAACATAGAAGGGAAAGAACACGTAGGGGACTGCCCTGTCCCCATTGTGGAATGAATGGGGGCATTCTCAATATCAATATCTCAATCTCACTCCTTGAGAAGGCAGAGCATTGTAGATAGGGCCCAAGTATTGTCTGGAGTGCTTGCAGCCCCACAAAGGTGGATTGAGTCCTTTCCTGTTGTGTTTTCCTCTGATTAAATCACCAGACAGTCAGGTATTGTATGCGTATCCATTTTGAGAAGCAGACCTGGTTAGTGTGATAGATGTTCCAGCATGGGATATGATATCATAACTCATGTTTGGGGCAAAATCTTCTAAGTTTTAAAGACTCAGCTTTATGTTAAACTCTGTGTTCTGTTGTCTGCCATCCACATTTGAGAAGTGCCTCAATTGTGGCCTGTCTCTCAGAGCCACCTTGCATTTGTTTATAGCTCACCTTGGATTAAAATTTTGGGCATGATGAAAAAGCATCCAAAAAGCAGAAATATCTTCATGTATTCATCTGGCCTGAAGAGACCTCATGCAAGTATTTGAGCTGACWCAACCAAACAGGTGGTTAAAAAACTTGGGAGCATCAAAGTGGTAGAAAGTAGCAGGCATTTTTCCTAGGAGTTYAATGACAGTGTGCCAGGAGCATGCMGTGGTGGAGCATGAGACAAGTGGGTGGGAAACTTGAGAGCTGATGCCTGCTCTGTTGTCTACATGATGTCTTCCCTCAACTGGAGCCATCTGTTGAATTGCCAGCAGTGTTCATAAGGTCTTTCCCAAGGTGTTTCCTATCCCAGTGCCWCTTCATTGAGCCCTCAGGAGAGACTCCACTGTACCTCCTCTGGGTACAAGTGAGGTGTTCTGTGAGATTTTCTTTGCAGCCTCTTGCAGTATTTTAAGATAATGCAGTTGTCCTGAGCTGGGGCACAGTGCCATGGTGGTTTGGAGATGGGAAAGCTTGTTTTTCCACATTATGGTGTTGGTCATGGGAGCAACAGGTGGTGAGCACTGGCAGTGCTGCAGGGACAACAGCTCTGACCAGGATGGTTCAGGACCTGGGGAGGACCATCAGCCTTATGCAGCCATTTCTGTAGGGCTGCAGCCAAGAGCATTTCTGCAGCATGTTTATGAAACCCTTGGGGAATCTGTGATCCAGGCAGTAAAGCCGAACCCTCCTCTTTTTGGGGACAGGCATCTCCTGGAGCATCCCTGTCTCTGAGGAGGTGTTTGCCAGGTCCTATGTTTGGAAGTATTCACATAGA